TGCGAGCTGCGGGCAAACTTGACGAAGGCGATGCCCTTGGACTCCTTAGTGTGCTTGTCCCGCACCACCCAGATGTCCTGGATCTCGCCGAAGGGCGAGAAGCGCTCCCTCAGCACCGACTCAGGCGTGTACTTGCTGATCACCAGGAAGATGCGGCTGTTGGGCGGCTCGTCCAGGCTGTCCACGCCCGGACGGAAGCCTCCGCCGCTCGCACAGCTGCCTGCTTCGTCCATGGCGCTCCGCCCCGGCGCGGGAGCCAGGTGCGGGTCCCCTTAAGGTCTCCTCGCTGCCACCGGGCCCGCCACCGCCGCTCCCGCACAGCCAGCCGTTGCGGGTCCGGCGCTCCGCTTCCGGAAGACGCGAGTCGGGCGCCGGACCAGCGTCTGGTACCAGCTTCCGGGGAGCGGCCTGCAGCGCCCCCTAGCGATGCGGGGTGTGGGGAGGTCGATCTGGTCAGGGAGCCCAATCTCTCGGAAAGGAGGCTCACATGTCAGGGGTGCCATCCGCATTGCTTGTGGCCAGAACAGCCCTGTCTGGTGCACAGGCTTTCCCAGCGCTGGCTTTATTCCCACCCCTAGAGCCCAAGCATTCTTCCCCCAAAACTTGCCATCTTGCTTATGAGCTGAGTAGAAGACAACTATAGGATAAAGTTAAAAACCCTATAGTCTTATTTGAGATCATCTAATTCGAGCCTCATTTGTTGAGAAAATTGATATGAGGAAATCGAGGCCTCTGGAATGCCAAAGACAGTAAGGATACAAATAACAGAGCCAAAACCAGAACCAGGTCCGTCTGCTGATGTGCTCAACTCCCACAAGCACCCCTGGGGATTTGAGGGCTGAAATGGACTGCTCAGCTATAGGGACTTTCCCACAGGTCAGTGGGAAACCTAGCAGAAATCCAGAAACAAGATCTGGATTTTGTAGTGGAGTTGGAATAAAATGAAAAGTGTGAAACTGAATGTGGTCCAGGAGCAGAACTCTTTGAATGCTCAAGTCCAGGTTGCTAAGATTAGGGTTGTTTTGAGCTTAAACATGTAAGTACTATTTATTGTGTGCCAATTGTGTGTCAGCTCTGTCTAAGGAGCTAGATACACCATAAGGAAAAGAAAAAACATGTTCCCTGTCCTCCTAGAGCTTTCTTCTATTGTGGAAAAATTACATGTAAATATATAGTGCAAAATAATGTCGGATTGTGTTAAGTGGTTTTGCCACTGAACTGTGTGAGTTTAGATAAGTTACTTCATATTTCCAACTTCAGTTTCCTCAGCTGCAAGGAGAAATAATATTGCCTACTAAATGGGGTAGTTATTAAGCTCAGTTAATTCATCCATTTATTTAAGGACCGAATGTTTCTGTCTACTGTGTGCTGGGCACTGTGCTTTACTCAAGTGATATGGTATTAAACTAAATGATCCTTCTCTTTCTCTTATGAAGTTAATAGATTAGGTTTATATACTTAGGATTTTATGAAATAATATATATGGAGCTCATAGCTTAAGGATCAGATGAGCTAATATGTGTACAATGGCACGATGGAGATGAATTTTCTTGTTCCCTTTGACCAGGGTATCCACTATCCCACTTTTTATATTGTATACTTGTATGATAGCAACTAAGAGTCAGGGATTGTGGGTTCTCACTCTGGCTTTAGCACAAAAGATTGTGATAATTTTTCCTCACATTACATCCTGTATCTGTAAAGTAAGGACTCTGTTTACCCTGGATCTTAGCAAGTTAAAGAAGTACCTTGTTTTAATTTTCCACTTTTCTTTATGTTACCCAAACCAATCAAAGTGAATAAAAACAATGTGGCAGTGTTAATAATTTTATTGCTGTGAGAATCTGAAGCTTCTAGCAACACTATTTGCACACCAGTGCCATCTAGTGGAAAATGTATAATTTTCTTGCACTGTAGAGACTGGGCAACTTTTATTCTTCGTCAAACAAAATTACTGATTGATAGCCTGAAAATTTGAGGCTGATGTTTAGAGCAGTTAATTTCTTTTCTTAAAGAAGAGAGAAAAGATTGCATGAAACAAAATCAGTACAGAAATATTGGGAAATGCTGGGAAAGCAAAATTTCTTTATAACTCAGTCATGTGAAATACCACATATGAAAGGAAAATAAGAAATTTGCTTTCTCTAATGACTTTATGACTTCTCCGTCTAGTTATTTTAAACAGCTTCCTTGAGACACAATTCATATTTCATACAATTCATCTATTTATGTTCAGTTAAATGGCTTTTAATATGTTCACAGCATTGTGCAACTATCACCACAATCAGTTGTAGAACACTTTTAATAAATGAATAATGACAGTTTTGCCATGTGCCAAATCATATAAAATCACATTTGAACATGAATTACATGTAGCTAAAACAGCTGAAAATTCTGAGGTTTGAAACAATGATTATAAATCAGTGTTATATTAGAGAAAAGATGTGCTGTGCATTTGCAGATTAAATTTTTTCAAGGCTTTACAACATGTAGCCTATAATGCACAATTGTTTAAATGATAAGCACTTTTGTTGATTTCACATGAAATCCAGTTTTCCCTTGATGCTTTTCTTCCAAAATTCTTATAAATTTCTTTTTTTAAAGAAGAGATGATATTGTAACTTATTTTTGAAATGCAAAGAGAAAATAATAAATTTTTGTCATTGTTTTCCAAAATTTCTTTAACTATGATATAATTACAATGATATTTACTGGCTATCAATATTAGTCTTCATATATTATATTTCAGTAAAAATGTTTTTCCTTATTTGAAATTTTTAAATAGGCTTTACCACTGATATTTACTGGTAATCAATTAGTAATTTTCAGGTTGTTCTGTATGAATAAGGTCCAGAATGTCCATTTTTCTCAGCTGTAAGGCTACGAGCTACTGTGAATGCATTCAATGCACCTACACTGGCATGTGGTAGGCACTAGAGAAATGGTAGTCTCCTTCCTTTACTTGAGTTTACATGTTTTTGTTTGAGTTTGAGAATAATATTTAACACCTGATTCTTGCTCCCTCCCAAAACCTGGTCCTTTTCATTCAACTTTTTTTTTAAAGATTTTATTTATTTATTTGAGAGAGAGAGAGAGCGCACAAGCAGGAGGAGTGTCAGAGGGAGAGGGACAAACAGGCTCCCTGCTGAACAGGGAGCCCAACTTGGAGCTCTATTCCAAGACTTTGGGATCATGGCCTGAGCCAAAGGCAGCTGTTAACCAACTGAGCCACCCAGGCACCCACGCTTTTCATTCAACTTGATGACATATGTCTTTTATTTTTATTTATTTATTTTTAAAGATTTTATTTATTTATTTGACAGAGAGAGATCACAGGTAGGCAGAGAGAGAGGAGGGAGCAGGCTCCCCACTGAGCAGAGAGCACGGACGTGGGGCTCCATCCCAGGACCCTCGGATCATGACCTGAGTTGAAGGCAGAGGCTTTAACCCACTGAGCCACCCAGGCGCCCCGATATATGTCTTTTAAATATGTTGATCATAGAACAGTTTCATAGGTATCTCTTAGAATAGCTTCAATCATCTCGTAATCGTGGCTATTTAAATTAAAATAAAAATTAATTAAAATTGACTATAAAATAATAAAAATTTCTGTTACTCAGTTGTATTAGTTACACTTCAAGTACTCAAAGTTACTTTTGTCTAGTAGACAGTGCCCACGCAGAACAATTCAATCATTTCAATCATAAAAGTATATGGGACAGACCTCTGGAGAACTTGACTGTGGTAAACTTCCCACTTACCTAACACACAAAATTTTGTCACTATTACAAGTACTTTGTTGAACAATTAAAAATTTTTTTTAATATTCCAATTTCTCTGTCTCCTTACCACATATGTCTCACTGAAGTTATTATGTAACCACAGGTAAGCAAATTTCCTTTCTCATGGTTTCCTAAATACAAATTTAAGTTTGACCTGTCTGTCTTTAAAACTCTCATCTTCTTGTAGCTTTTTCAGTCCTTCCCTCCACATCTCCCTTCTTGCTCCTTCAGTTCTAATTCTCTTTGTTTCTAGTCATACTTCACTGGGCTTTTATTTATTTATTTATTTATTTTGGCAATTAACAAGCAGCTTTCAACCTTGCTGTCAGTTCTTATATTATTGTATTTTTTTCTAATGTAGCTAATTTATAATGATTTAACTTTTTAAAAAAGATTTTATGTATTTATTTGACAGAGAGAGACACAGTGAGAGAGGAAACACAAGCAGGGGGAGTATGAGAGGGAGAAGCAGGCTTCCCACTGAGCAGGGAGCCCATGCAGAGCTCCATCCCGGGACCGTGGGATCATGACCTGAGCCACCCAGGCACCCCATAATGATTTAACTTTTTTTTTTTTTTTAAGATTTTATTTATTTATTTGACAGAGAGAGATCACAAGTAGGCAGAGAGGCAGGTAGAGAGAGGGAGGGAAGCAGGCTCCCTGCTAAGCAGAGAGCCTGACTGGGGGCTGGATCCCAGGACCCTGGGATCATGACCTGAGCTGAAGGCAGAGGCCTAATCCACTGAGCTACACAGGCACCCCAATGTCTCTAAATCTTGTCCCAACTGAATTGTAACTCAGAAAATTGGAGCTGAAGTTCAGTGTTTGTCCAAGTTGCTTGGCACAGTGCCTTGCCCATCCTATTTGTTTTATTCTTTTGTTGACATGATATGATTCCTAAAAACACATGCTAATGGACCATTCATAAAACGTTGAGTTCCTGCTTCAAGCCAGAAATGGGACGCGCGGTCAATACGCATAGATAATTTAGCTCTTTGGTCAGGCAAAATCTAAACAAAAGATGCTCCTGGGGCTGCTGTGTTCAAAGGACGTTCACTTAGTCACGTTTCCATTCAGCCTGCAACTGCCCAGCAAGTCCGTCTTCAAGCTCCTGCGAGAATTGCCAACTTGCGGGATCTGGGAGCCAATCAGCGGTGCGGATAGAGCCTGGCCTGCTATTGGCTGGCGTCCACCGGAAGCACATGCTGGGCTGGGCTTCCGGTGCAGGTGTTCGAGGCATTGCTCTGGGATCGCCAACACCAAACTTGCCGCTCAGTCTCTGGCCTGGCAGAGGCCCGGGTGACTTCTTAAGGGTTCTCTAGGGTGGTGGTGGGCGGAGCCGCTGACCCTCTGGTAGGTATGGGATTGGCTGGGAAGTAATGGGCCTGGCAACCATGTGATCTAAGCACTGATTATGGGGCAGAGCAATTTGGGCTGGGCTTTACTCAGAAAGGAGTATCTAACAGGCTCCTTTTTAGCCCTAGCCTGCTGGGGTCTACCTGTCCCTAAGTGCGGCATAAAACTATTTCTGGTGAGGGGCCTACCTGCGGCTTTTATGATTTCTGTTTGGAACTGATTCGGGGCAGAGCCTTCCGCCCACAGTTGGCAGAAATCAGCCAAGTGGGAGTGGTGGCATGAAGGACTGCGAGACTGGCAGTTTGGAAAGCTGGATTCTTACTCCAGTTTAGAGTTTCAGGCACAGCAGATTCGAAGAGGGAAAGGCCATGGACATCTGTGTTTGGCGGGGGGGGGGGGGCTTGGAGGGGGTTCATAGACGTTTACCCACGGTCACATCGTTCTGATGCATTCCACTTCCGTACTTCTTCCACTGCAACAGCAGAATCCCACTTTATCTTTTAGTCTGTGTAGTATTCATCCTCCAGTTATTCCAGGAGTTCTTCCTCCCACTTTTATTGCTTCCAGTTATGTGAGTTTTGTAAATCTTGAAAGCTTTATTGGTGCCTTGATTGTTCTTACCACATCCCTCTTTTTTACGGGCAAAATTGGAGGTGGCAGTGGTACGTACCAACACTGAAGAGCATTTTACTTACTTCTCTTTAAGCATCTGCAGTGTGTCAAACATTCTGTTCAACCCAAGTTACTTAGTTTGTTCCTAAAAGGGAATTGTTAAAATTAAAAGAGATTGAAAATTGTTCTTCCTCTTACTTTTCACCATCTCTCTCCACTTCTCACCAGCTTGTGACTTTAAGCCGCTTAACTTGTGTGCCTCATTTTCCTCAGCTGTAAAAACAGAGATATTAACGGTATCTATCTCACATGGCTGGTCTGAGGAATAAATGCATTAATAATATATAAAGTGCTTAGCTATGTCTGGCCCACAGAAGCATGCGTAAGTGTTCCCTACTCTTCTCCTATTTATCATTAGAATTACTTCATTCTTGGAAGAGTGATCAGTCTCATACCAGGTGTCATATCTTTGCCTATTTCAGTGAGAAATAGGCAAAAATCTTTTTTAAGAAAATTTTTATTTATTGAGATAAAATTAGCATGTAATATTATACAAATTTTAGGTATACAACATTATATTTCTATTTTTCATGAAATAATATCTTTATTATGTACTATTCTCATCTTTTTTTTCTTCCATTAATTTTTTTTTTCCAGAGGTACAGGCCTGTGATTCATCAGTCTTATATACTACCCAGTGCTCATTGCATCATATGCCCTCCTTAATGTCTATCACCCAGTTACCCCATCCCTCCACCACCCTCCTCCAGCAACCCTCATTTGTTTCCTATGATTAAGAGTCCCTTATGGTGGGGCGCCTGGGTGGCTCAGTGGGTTAAAGCCTCTACCTTCGGCTCAGGTCATGATCCCAGGGTCCTGGGATCAAGCCCTACATTGGGCTCTCTGCTCAGCGGGGAGCCTGCTTCCTCCTCTCTCTCTTTCTCTCTCTGCCTGCCTCTCTGCCTACTTGTGATCTCTGTCTATCAAATAAGTAAATAAAATCTTAGAAAAAAAAAAAAGAGTCCCTTATGGTTTGTTACCCTCTCTGGCTTCATCTTTTTATTTTTTTCCTCTCTTCCCCTATGAGCTTCTGTTTTGTTTCTTAAATTCCACGTATCAGTGAGATCATATGATAATTGTCTTCCTCTGACTTATTTCGCTCAGCATAATAGCCTCTGGTTCCATCCATGTCATTGCAAATGGCAAGATTTTATTTTTTGATGGCTGAGTAGTATTCCATTATATACCTCTATATATCTATCTATATCTATATCTATATCTATCTCACATTTTCTTTATCCACTCATCTATCGATGGACATCTGGACTTTTCCCATAGTTTGGCTATTGTGGACATTGCTGCTATAAACATTGGGGTGTGTGTGCCCCTTCAGATCATTTGTATCTTTGGGGTAATACTCTGTAGTGTACTTTCTGGGTTGTAGGGTAGCTCTATTTTTAACTTTATGAGGAATCTCCATACTGTTTTCCAGAGTGGCTGCACCAACTTGCATTCCCACCAGCAGTGTAAGAGGGTTCCCCTTTGTCTGTAACCTCACCAACATTTGTTGCTTCCTGACTTATTAATTTTACCCATTCTGATTGGCGTGAGGTGGTGTCTCATTGTGGTTTTGATTTATATTTCCCTGATGCCAAGTAATGTTGAACATTTTTCCATATGTCTGTTCATATGTCTTCTTTGGAGAAAGGTCTGTTCATGTCTTCTGACCATTTCTTGATTGGATTATTTGTTCTTTGGGTGTTGAGTTTGATAAGTTCTTTATGGATTTTGGATACTAGCCCTTTATCTGATAGGTTATTTGCAAATATCTTCTCCCATTCTGTAGGTTGTCTTTTGGTTTTGTTGACTGCTTCCTTTGCTGTGCAAAAGCTTTTTATCTGTTGAAGTCCCAATAGTTCCTTTTGCCTTTGTTTCACTTCCCTTTGGAGACATGTCTAGCTAGAAGTTGTTGTGGCTAAGGTTGAAGAGGTTTATATTTCTTCTTAATAATGAAATATTATTAGAGTGCCAGATGATTATAGGATAAAATTGACTTGCTTGCTATCCTTCCTAGTCTTCCTGCCCCCCTCCCTTGCTATCACTGCTGAATTTACTGGTTTTATTGCACTTTGCAGATGGTCATATGTACTTACATAACTGTGATTAAAGATGGCAGCAGTCAGTGTCTTCACATGGTAAATATTGGTAGTTTGAACAATGACAATAGACATTTTCTAATAAGAGAATTGTATGTGAAATCTATTTGAGGAAAGAGGATTTTTTTCTTTTAAACAAATGTCTGGTTTCTTGAATTATCCGTAACATTTAATAGGTATAAGAATCAATCTGATTTTTTTGCTTTATATAAAAATTGGAAATGATTCTTTAGCAGTACTTAGATGACATTTTCTATTTGTATGGTATGGACTTTATGATTATTGTGAATGCATTTTGCTAAAGTCCAAAAATTTGTATTTGTGACTAAAGTTTCTTAATGGCCCCTGTTCAAAGGTTCAGTGAATTCTGTATTTATACGTGAACTGATAGAATTCATTTAAGTAGAAATTGAATGCAGTGTTTTGAGTGAAGTTTGGAATTTAAAAGTAAGCTTCTTCTGGATAAATGAGTTTTTTTACTCTTCTTTTTATCAGACCTAAAACATTGATTAGTAGCTTAGTTGTTAGTCTTCCCACAGAAAATTTGTCTTCCCTTTAAGTGGATTATTGACACTATTGTGGGTTTCCACATAAATTTAAAGAAATTAGGGAGATACCAGAGCCCCTCAGTAGCTCAGTCAGTTAGGTGTGTCTGCCTTCAGCTCAGGTCATGATCCCATGGGCCTGGGATTAAGCCCCACTTTGGGCTCCCTGCTCAGTGGGGAGCCTGCTTCTCCCTTTCTCTATCCCTTTTCCCGTGGCTCACGCTTGTGTGCTCGCTCTCTCAATTAAAAAAAATAAATAAAATCTTAAAAAAAAGAGAAGAAATTAGAGAGATACTAATTTTTCAAGTTACTGTATAGGAAGTACTGACTTCTCTGAGTAATAGCTAACTTCAGTTAAGACACATTGTATTTTTCAATATTATTACCAGAATAAACCAAACATTTTTTATTTCTTAGTAGAGTTATAAAGGCAAAAATGTGCTTCAAACTGTACTGTCAGGGAATTAGGTTATTTTCATGATTTCTCTAATAGTAATACAATCTCATATTGAAATCCATCCCAACACCTACTGCCCATGATCTAATTTTTCAAATAAAAAGAGCAGGGGGAAAAAAAAAAAAAGCAGGGGACGCCTGGGCGGCTCAGTCAGTTAAGTCTCTGCCTTCTTTCGGCTCAGGTCATGATCCAAAGGTGCTGGGATTGAGTCCTGCATTGCACTCCCTGCTTGGTAGGGAACTTGCTTCTCCTTCTGCCTCTGCCTGTCACTCCCCCTGATCTTGCACACGCTCTCTTGTCTGTCTCTCTCTCTTACAAATGAATAAATAAAATCTTAAAAAAAAAACAAAAAGAGCAGGTAAACAAAACTTAGGTACTATATTTGTTGGCATTTCAAACTACATTTTTAAAAAACGTTGAAATTATTTTAGTTTTTACATAATTTTAGACGAAGGAGACACTTAGTTATGCAACAAAATTTTTGGTAGTATTAACTAAAATATCTTTGTACAAATTTTATTTTATATATCACTGTACCATAAAATCTTCCCTGCTTAGAACTGTATTTTCCACTACATTAGTGTTAAACACGTACTACTGCTGACTGAACTCAATAATGGTATTCAATTGCTTTGAGATACTGCTTAATCTAACTGCTAGATGTGTTTATAGCTGAGAGTATAAAGTAAATGAGAAATTACGTGTTATGTATAACCTGCTGTGGCCTCATTCTTTTGTTTGATATTTAATTTTACAGGCTATTATTGCAGGCATATAAGTACTTACAAAAACATCAAATTTAAGTGCCTTTTGCATTTTGCTCTATTCTTATTATTAAACAAGGGGATGCCAAATTAGACTTAGAAACCTTGCATTGTTTTTTGCACATGTGCTTTCTGTAAGTGGAAGGAAAAAAGTGGAATATAATTGACCTAGATGAATTAGTATAGTTGTTTGAAGGCTGAAGTAAAACCAGGCTTATACCATAAGTTTCTGAAGTATCTATAAATCAAAATTTTAAAATAAATCTGATAAATGAGATGATTAAGTCTTTATAAAATTGGATGCTATAATCTGCTTGTGTTTTTGAGCACTCAGGCTTTAAAAGGATGCATACTTTAAATACGTTTTTGTTTAATATCATTAGTATTCATTTTAAAGTGTTGGCATTTTTTTTTCCAGCTTTGCAAATCTGAGATTTTTTTTGGACTGTGGTTTAATGTTTTGTTGCAGAACAAAATGGGAGATGCCAAAGCAGGCAAGAAGATCTTTATTCAGAAATGTGCTCAGTGCCACACAGTGGAAAAAGGTGGAAAACACAAGATTGGTCCAAATCTCTGGGGTCTTTTTGGACGAAAAACAGGACAAGCACCAGGATTTTCTTATTCAGATGCTAACAAAAACAAAGGTAAAACCTGGGCAGTTGTGGGAGAGAACCGGAAACTTTATAGCAAAGAAAGAAAAGCACCTGATTTGATATTATAGTAATTTCCTAGTTTATAGCATAAAAAATGAAATCCTTATGTTTATATTACTGAAATACTGATTTATATTATAAGATCTATATTTAGATAACTGGTCTTTTTTTGATCAGAGGAATTAGCAATTCTCTGTGGCATAGGTTTTTATTTATATGAGGAATTTCTATTTTATGCAGCACATTTATGTAGAAAAAGCATGAGCTAAATTAAAAAGATCAAATCATATTTTAATGGCATAATGGTAGTTTTCTACTTGGGGTAGTGATTCTTTTTTTTTTTTTTTTTTAAGATTTTATTTATTTATTTGACAGAGAGAGATCACAAGTAGACAGAGAGGCAGGCAGAGAGAGAGAGAGAAGCAGGCTCCCTGCTGAGCAGAGCGCCTGATGCGGGACTCGATCCCAGGACCCCGAGATCACGACCTGAGCCGAAGGCAGCGGCTCAACCCACTGAGCCACCCAGGCGCCCCTGGGGTAGTGATTCTTAGCAGAGTGGAGGGATATTGTATAGTTTGAAAAACTATATTCCATGACTTTTTTGTTGGAGGAAAGTAGGTAGATGACAATTAAAATGAGAAGGCATTTTAAGTGTGAAATTGAAAATGGCTGGGAAAAACTATAATATCTTTGCAGAGAATTTTATTATTCCTGGATATACACATCCATCCATCCATCCATCCATCCATCCGTACATGCATAGCATTTACTTCAAAAAATAGGGTGCAACTCCAAATAGATTGCAACTCTATTTTGGACTGTTCTTGGAGGCCTAGCATTTCTAACTGGCCCAAATTTCAGATCATTACAATCCTACTATTTGGAAAGGTTTTCATTTCATTTTATTTTATTTTATTTTATTTTATTTTATTTTTGTTCCTTTTTGTTCTTTTTATTGACGTGAAATTCACACATTAGCCATTTTGAAGTGTACAAAGCAGTACATTTTGTGTAGTTACAGTATTGTATAATCAACACCTGTCTGTAGTTTAAAAATTTTTTTGTTGCTTGAAAAGAACCCCTGTGCATATCTAATAAACACTCCCCATTTCCTCCTACCCTTAACCTCTTGCAAACTCTGATCTGCTTCTTTTCTTTATGGATTCGCCTATTCTGCATATTTCATAAAAAGGAATCATAAAATATGACCTTTTGTGTTTCGCTTCTTTCACTTAGCATGTTTTCAAGGTTCATTGAAGTTGTAGCTTGTATCAGTACTTCATTCCTTTTTATGGCTAATCATGTTCAATTGAATGTATATATCACAATTTGTTTACACATTCATTGGTTGGTGAACATTTGGATTATTTCCACCTTTCACCTATTGTGAATAATGCTGCTATGAATATTTGTGAATAAGCATTTGTTTGAGTCCTTGTTTTCAGTTCTTTTCAATATGTATAGATATGTATATCTATATATATGTTGGGGGTCATTTGTTAAATCTATGTTTAACTTCTTGAGGAAAGCCAGTTGTTTTCCACAGTAGCTACCATTTTACATTATCATCAGTGATGCAAGATTCCTATTTCTCTGTATCCTCTCCCATGCTTTGTTATTTTCTTTTTCTTTTTAAAATTGCCATCTTAGTAAGTGTGAAGTGGCATCTCATGATTTTTTTTTTGCATTTCATTAATGAACGATGCTGTTGAACATGTTTTAGTATGCTTTGTTAAAAAGAAAACCATAGGGCCAAAATAGAGTCACCTGTACTAGGCCCACAACATTAAACCAGGGCTTAATACCTAACTTAATTGTAGTTTCAGTTCTTCCCAGGAATGTAATCTTAACTGGTTAGTCTGGAATTTCCTGGTTGGTGCTGGAATCTACCTAGTAAGATCTTTTTGTCCTCCAAAAGGAGGTGAATTTGTCTGAAATAAGTCTTTCTTGTTGTTTATGACTTCCTTGTTCTATCTTTAAAAACCTTTCTCTTTCTGTAGCCTGTTGGAATTCCTTTCTATATGCTGCCTGACTCATGAATCATTGAATAAAGTCAATTTGGTCCTTAAATTCACTCAGTTGAAATTTGTTTGTTCAACAACTTGTTGGCCATTTGTAGATTTGGAAAAATGTCTATTTGTATCCTCTGCTTATTTTTTTATTTGACTTGTCTTTTTTATTGTTGAGTTTAAGAGTTCTTTATGTATTCTGGATGTTAATCTCTCATCAAATATGTGATTTTCAAATATTTTCTCTTTTTTAGTAGTTTGTCTTCATTTGTTTGATAATGTCCTTTGATTCACAGAAGTTTTTAATTTGTATAAAGTCAATTTATCTGTATTTTTATTGATTTTTGAGGAGAGGCATCAAATCTAAGAATCCATCACCAAATCTGAGGTCATAAAGATTTGCCCTTATGTTTTCTTCAAATAGTTTTATAGTTTTGGTCCTTAGATTTAGGTTTTTGATGCATTTGTACTTAATTTTCTATAGAGAGTAAGGGAATAGACCTACTTCATTCTTTTGCATGTGGTTATCCATCACTTCTCAGACTTTGGTTAAGGTTAAGTGCATGTGGTTATCTAGTTACCCCGCCTGATTTCTTGAAAAGACATTCTTTCCTAGTTGAATGGTCTTGATACCCTTGTTGAAATTCAATTGGCCATATATGTTAGGGTTTGCTTCTGGACATTCAATTCTATTCTATTTGTCTATATATCTATCCTTATAACAACACCACAGTTTTATTACTGTAGTTTTCTGGTAAGTTTTAAAATTAGAAAGTATGAGCCCTCCAGCTATGTTTTTCTTTTTCAGTATTGTTTTGGCTATTCAGGGCCCTTTGCAATTCTATGAATTCGAGGATAACCTTTCCCATTTCTGCAAAAGAGCCTTTGGAATTTTGATAGAGATTGCATTGTATCTGTGGATTTTTTTAAGGATTATTGCCATTTTAGCAACATTAATGTTCCAATCTATGAACATGGGATGCTTGTCCATTTATTTAAGTCTCCTTTCATTTCTTTCAGAAATGTTTTCTAATTTTCAATGTACAAGTCTTTTACTTCCTTGGTTAAATTTTGCCTAAGTATTTTATTCTTTTAAATTTCTCTTATAAATAGAACTGTTTTCTTAATTTCTTTTTCAAATTGTTCATTGCTTATATATAGTACACAACAGATTTTTCTTTGTTGATCTTATTCCCTGAAGCTTTGCTGAATTAATTTATTAGTTATGGTAGATTTTTTGTGGATCCTTCAGGATTTTCTATATGTAGAATCATATCATCTGTGATAGAAGTAGTTTACGTCTTTCTTTCCAGTTTGGATGGCTTTTATTACTTTTGATTTTCCTAATTGCTCTGGCTAAGACTTCTAGTGGAATTCTGAGTAGAACTGGTGAAAATGAGCCTCTCTGTCTTGCTCCTGATCTTAGGAGAAAGTTTTCAGCTTTTCACCTTGGGTATGGTATTAGCTGGGGGTTTCCAAAAATCCCTGTTTTCTTGTTAAGCAACTTATCTTTTATTCTTAGTTTATTGAGTGTTTATATCATGAAAGGGTGTTGGAATTTGTCAAAATTTTTCCTGCATCTTTTGAAATAATCATGTATTCTTTTTCCTTTTGCTCTATTAATGTGTTGTGTTGATTGTCTTTCTTATGTTGAACCATCCTTGCATTCCTAGGATAGATCCCATTTGGTCATAGTATGTAATTCTTTAATGTGAATTGGATTTAGTTTGCTAGTATTTTGTTGAGGAATTTTGCATTTATAGTGATAAGAGATATTGGTTTGTAGTTTCTTATGGTGTCTTTGTCTGGTGTTGGTGTTTGGAGAAGTTTAAAATATAGATTATTGCTGCTCTAAGTTCTCCTCATAAATGATTTGAATTTGGTATTTTTAAATTTCTTATTGGGGGGTGCCTGGGTGGCTCAGAGGGTTAAGCCTCTGCCTTCAGCTGAGGTCATGATCTCAGGGTCCTGGGATCGAGCCCCACATTGGGCTCTCTGCTTGGCATGGAGCCTGCTTCCCCTCTCTCTCTCTGCCTGCCTCTCTGCCTACTTGTGATCTCTCTGTCAAATAAATAAATAAAATCTTTAAAAAAAATTTCTTAATGGGTTTTATAGTGCTGTGTAGTGTTTATTTAATTGAGCTTTGTGGACTATATTGGAGGAGAAGGGTTTAATGAAGGGAGTTGACATTTTGTGCATTATTATTATTATTATTTTGGTGCAAATGTAATAGCTTGTATTTTGTCAAAGGAGGGATTTTACTTATTCTAACCTGTATTAATATTTCTAGCAAGATGGTGTTTTGGGTTTGTCTCAGTCTATCTATAGTGACGTTATTGACTAGAAATGCCTGGGGACACTCACCTGGGCCTATATTACTTATAGTAACCCCCTACAGATACTTCTCCAACCAAAGTCAATGTTGTGGCTGGACCAGACTTTGTGGTTCTCATTATGATTGAAAGATGCACCCTACTATCAACCATCAGGGAACTTTGAAAAGAAAAATTTATTACTCACAAGTCTTGGAGGTTACATGACATGCCTGGGACCACATAGTGAGGTTGAAAGGAAAAGAGAGAGAGAGTGAGAGGGAGCTAGTGAGGAGGCCTGGTGTTTTGCTTTTATTGGAGTAAAAGGTAGGGTTTCACAAGTACATTCTTTAATGGTGAATTTAAAACATAAGAGTGGGAATTGAAGCATGGGAAGGGAAAAACAAACAGTCCTCAAATGTAGTTATCTAAGTCTACCAGAGCTGCCTTAAAAAAGGGGGGCGGAGTTCATGGTGGGGAAACTTGGCTCTATCTACTCATGTAACTGGCAGTGTGTTTATTCAGACTAGATGTGTTTGAAGTAGATGCCTTGGCAAACAAACAAACAAACAAACAAACAAACAAAAAAACACTTAATGCCAGGCATTTATATTATAGTTGAAAAAGCTAATTGTCAGGTCCTATTCTACAGATAGGTGAGGTATAGTGA